ATTTATTTAAGCTACCATGTGATCTGTATGTTTACTATTTGTTTTTACCAAAAAGTCATTTATTTGTACGTAGCAGAGGGGAAGCTATGTGACAGTAGCGCAATGCGAAGAAAATTTAATGTGTCATCTACTACCTCAGTATAACATTTCATTTTTGGCTACAAGTGTGAAAAGCGTCAGCAGCGAAATAATAAAAGAAAGAAACATACACACACACATTCACACCCTGAAAAAGAGTGCGAATAAATAAATATTAGACTTAAAGATAATCTGATAATAGTATTAATTTCTATCCATACAAAAGTATACATATGTATCTATATTTGTATATAAAGTTCATATGGTTATATTTTGACACATTTTTTCGGAGCCGAAAAAATCGCACATGTTTTTAACGTAATCTGGCTAAATTGATTTCAAATTATTAACATATTCAATTATTTCCATATGCCATGTATTCAATATCATTTATTAAATGGCAAGTAAGCTAATAGAATTGAAAATATTTACTTTAATGGGTCAATATATTAAAATGTATTTTTTTTTTGGCTTATAATTCACAGTTTCTTCTTTGATTTGGCTGAAATAATAAATAATTAAAAAGTATATTATCTAAATACAATCATTAAGTTTTTTCAAATCAATTTATTTGTTAGCCTTAGTTCATACTCCGATAATTAATCGTTGACCTCAAAGACCAAACAACTGATATGTTATTTTTATAAAAGTAATCGATAGCAATAACGGCCCATAGTAACGATGTCTTTGTTGGGTAGTTTTGGGATTCGTTTACTGTCTTTAAAGCTAGGCATATCAAACTTGCTAACCACCAATATTTAAGAATTAAAATTCAAATCATGTGCTGTTCAAATTTCCCCATCTCAAAGTAAAAGTAAACGTGTAAGGAGTGCATGGCGAATTTCGAAGTTATTTCCTTTCCATTACTCTGTTATTTATCTCTTGATCAAAAAGCACTCATAAAGGTACATACATACATCATCGTCGCTGTTGCCGATATCACTTCTGTGCTTTGTAGTCAGTTCTCAAATTTTTTTTTCCCGTTTCTCTCTCGCTCTCTTTGAACCGTTTCACACAATTTTGCCTACTGGTTGTCAGTCGGTATTTTATTACTACACTTTTCGCCACATTTATGTTGGCCTTTGGCGTTTTCGCTTTTCGTGCTTTTTCAATGTTTCCAATTTTCTTGCCAACTGGCAGATTTAGACTGTTTGGTTGTGCGAGTGAGAAAAGAGTACATTTATTGACTATGCAACAGGGGGTATTTAGTTTTTTTTTTGGCGTCGTATGGACAGTGTTTTCGCTGACTGGGTTTGTCTTTTTTTTTTTCTTTACTATTGTTTCCCTATCAATAATCCTCCCAAACACCCCTTTGCTGTTTTTCATTGCATTCTCTTTGTTTTTGAGATGCGCATGTTCTTTTCGTCCCATTTATTTCATTCACCTGGTTCGCTTTTGAACCGTTTCGTACCGCTATTTTGCCGCAGTGCGGTTATCGTCGTCTGTGGCTTTTACAGCATTTTTCGCTTCATATCAGCGACGGCGGCGGCGACAACGACAACAACTGACTGGTACCGGCGAGCAAATTTCATTGCGCTGATTTTGTTGTTGTGTGAATGGTATTTGTTATTCATCATCAGCGAAAACAGATTAGGGAGGAAAACGTTCGAGAGGGGTATTTGAAAAGATACATAGAAGTAAGGAGAAGTTGTTTCGGGGAGGGGTAAGCGTAAAAAAAGTAGCATATCTACTGTGTAAAAGGTGGGTGGGCAGCTGATTTGTCATTTGTTTTCACTGGCGAAATATGTATAAAAATATACAAAATGCTAAAGATGTTTGATAGAGCAAAGTAAGCGGGTTGAGGGATATGGCAGAACGACGGGTAAGTTCAAAATGAACGGTTGAACAAATATGCAGATACAAGAAGTATGGATAAATGACAGAAAAAGATGAATGTTGATGAATATGCTGCCAAATTTGCGATAGGTAAATTAATAGCGATAACCAAATTAGGTAGAAAATACCTAATCGTGTTTATTTACGTTCATACATACATGAACATATAAACATATGAACAGGTATATTCGTTTATAGATAAACATAACTGCTTAAAAATTTAAAATGCTGCACAATTATGTACATATGTATGTACAAACAAATATGTTTATATACAAATGTATATATGTATATGTATAACTTTTTTTTGTAATATATGAATATAACTTTTTTTTTTTTGATTTTGCGTATTGCTCTATCTTAAAAACTAATCTAATTTTTTTTTTGTTTGATCGCCATTAACGTAAACTGTTTTATGACCGGTAATCGATTAGTTGTAATCGGTTTTAAAGAAATCCCATCAAGTAGAGTTGCTTTGCTCTTAAAACATTTTGATTATTTTTACTCATGTAATGGTAATTTCTAAGAAAATGTACACATTGACATACACACAGTTGTACATGCATACATATGTACATGTATTAAATATCAGTTCATCAGTTGCAAGGCCATGAGGTCTAGAAGGAAAATATATAACAATTTTATGTACATGCTTATTTATTGTATGTATGTATGTATGTATGTATATATGTAAATACCTACTCTACTAATTTTTATTTCTCTATAAATTATGAAACTTGTAATAATGCAGATAAGGCACAGCCGCATAAAGGTGTCAAGCACTGATAACGTCAGCACTTGTATGAACATGCCTTAATTGGCATAATCAAATTTTTTTCGGCAGTTTAGCTGATAACATCTTTATCAGTTATGTTAATAGTGACTGACCACTTTTTTCGCAACATTTTGCCGGCGATAACTCGTAGTCCTTAGGAACTTGATATAATTTACTGTTATTTATAAAATAAAAAAATAAATAATATAATAAATAAATAAATAATATAAAAAATAAATGAATAATATAAAAAATAAATAAATTATATAAAAAATAAATAAATTATATAAAAAATAAATAAATAATATAATAAATAAATAAACAATATAATGAATAAATAAATAATATAATAAATAAATTATAAATAAATAAAATAAAATATAAATAAATATATAAAATAAATTATAAATAAATAAAATTAAATATAAATAAGTAAAATAAAATATAAATAAATAAAATTAAATATAAATAAGTAAAATAGTATATAAGTAAATAAAAAATGCATATTGCTGTTAAGCACATTAAACCAAGTTAATTGCTGCCGTTGCTATGTCACCAATTGCCTTTTGTACATGTGTTCAAATTTATAACGTATTGTACGAATTGCAGTCAGCTGCTAATCACCTATTCGCAGTTGTAAAGAAGAGGCAGCTGGTGTGTATGAAATACTCAGGTACATACATACATGTTTATTTTAACCCTAAGGACTCAAAATACTTAAGCACTTACATAAATTTGTATGTATTTATGTATGTGCATATCAAAATAACATCACACATATTGTTACAATAAAAAAAACTGTTAAATGTTTCTAATTTGCTTACGGTATTTTTTTTTTTTTTCTTTTTTTGAGAAAATGCAAATTATTGAAAACAAACACACAAAGCGACATAGCTTTCCTAGTGTTATCGACTCATTCATATGCACATCAGTGCATATATATATACTTTTTTATACATCCATAGGTTTTGTGTGCTTTTTATGTACATAAATGCATACATACATATGTATACAGTGAATAATACATATTTATGAGTCATATAAATGAATGAATGACGGTTTCCGATGTCACGATCACTTGAAAATAAAGCGAACAGGGCAACTAAAAGTCTTTTGCCGGTCGTTATTTTTTGTTATCTTTTCTATTTCGCGCTTTGTGTCGATTTACTTGTTTGACAACATTTAAGAAATAAGCGCGTGAACGTATGACCTTACATATATATTATGCGATACACTTATAAAGCTTCCTATATGTGTGTCAATATATGTACATAAGTATGACGGCATGTTTAAGTTCTAAGTGAGACAAACAGAAACGTATAGATATATATGTAGCACTTTTTTTTTATTGTTTTAAACCTAATTTAAAGAATTTGGCGCAAATTGTGGAGTTCTGAATGCAAAAGTGCTGGCTTAAGTTGTTTGCGTGAACCGCAGAGTGAATCGACTTTTCTTTTATATCGATACATTTGTATGGCTAACAATTGCTTATTTCTAGTAAATACGTTTGTTTTTCCTTTAAATAAATTAAACTAAAATGCGTTACTTGTAAATGAGTTTTAAAATTTTTTATTAGTTTTCGATAATGTACTCAATTATTTAACCAACAAATTTTGTCTGTCCAATTTACATTCACAACTCCAGTGTCGCCGTCGTCATCCGTTGACGTCAGTCAGATATTTTTGCGGTGGTTGTTGTTCCTTTAAAAGGCGTTAAGCGGAAACACAATACCGAGTTGCGCATATTCTTTTTAACAAATAATCGGTATCTGTTTCACATGTATTTAATTCTATTGTTTTTGCTATTTATTTTAAATTTATTTACATTAATACGGCAAACAGATACATATGTACATGTGTACCAGTACATACATATAGGCTTGTGTTTGTTGTATTTTAATTAAATTCTTTTATTTGTTTATTTATATTTATTTGCACTTTTGACGTTAAATGTCGCATTAAGAAGAAGCAGAGAGCTACATATGTACATACTATATAAATAAAGTATATAATTTTTCTACTTGGTTAAGTGCAACTTGTGGATATCTTGATGTAAATGTAAATAAAAAGACAAAAAAAAAAAAATAAAACTAAAGACTTCATAATTCATACAGAATATGTTTAATAAGTATGACAAAAAGAAACAAACACTTTGTTGTCAGCAACCTTACGTTTCCCCACCTATTTCTGTCTGGAAAGTTTCCAGATTTCCGTTTCGTCTTAATTCAAGCAACGCGGTATGCGCTGCGGAAAACTTCAAATTTGTCTTGTTTCTACAGTTTTCTTTCAATTGTCAGTTGATAGCAGAAAAATAATAGTGAAAAAAGACGTGTACATACATGCATTTATACATGAATGTTTGAAAAAAACCCACCAGCAATTTGCTTAAAGAGGAAGAAAAGTTGTACAAACAAGCAAGCAAGAGAAAAAAAACATATTTGGCAAAATAAAAATAAAAAGAATAATATTTGTACTTAAAAGATAACAATTTTTCGCCACATAACCCTTGCGCTCCTCGTTGCTCGTGTATTTCTTTTCATGAGTGTAGTGTTTATATGATTGGCGTAAAAAAGCAGTTTAAACCGAATTTATCAGGGCTAACGAAAGCGAAAATTCCATCTTGCCTGCAATAACACCACTCCACCACCCGTCTAAATTTTACTGCGGTATTTTTTTTTATACCGTTTCAATTGCAGATTGGTGAACAGGAAAAAACAATAGTATACTGTTAAAAAAAATTAAAAATTATACTAAATAAAAAATCGATCTTATATTTCAAAAATATTTTTTATTACGTGCACCTTTTTGTGCTGTGCTGCTTGAAGAATAAGTGAAAAAACGCGAAGCATATAATTTTGCGTGTAATACATAATGGTGAGTGCATACGTTTACAAATCAGCTCACGATTAATTATTATTTTTTTTTTATAAATAAAAACGTTTCGTCAGTCACGCGGTTCTTTTTATTAGTATTATTCTGTGATTATCAAATAAATTCGTCACTTTTCAAGTACGCCGTCCCGCTTATCAGTATTGTTTTTCAATAATTCTAGTTTATGCTGTAGGATTTGTGGGTTTCGACCCCCGTTTTGCTGACGTTGGAACGCTAGTTTTAGTGTTTTTTTTTTGTTTCCGTAATAAATCTTAGCTTTAAATATATAGAGCACATAGAAACATGTACATATATATATATATATATTCAAAAAGTGGGCGTGTTAATGGATTATCACATATGGGTTTGAGTTTATATGTATATGCGACTTTTAGCTCATCTTCTCAATCTTATCTACGTAATTGCTACTTACAGTATTAGTTTCTGTGTAGGAAAAGTATGTAAATTTTTACGTTAATCACATCATATGTTTTCTAAAATTATTTTTAAGACTTCTTTATTATTCTTTGACTTTTTTTTTATATATAGAATATACAATTAAGCAATTTTTCTTTTTTTTCCTCTTATATTTATTTTTATTTTCTTCATTTTCCAGGCTGACCAACTTACAGAAGAACAAATCGCTGAATTCAAAGAGGCATTCTCGCTCTTCGATAAGGATGGTGATGGCACCATCACGACAAAAGAATTGGGCACAGTGATGCGATCACTGGGACAAAATCCAACAGAAGCCGAACTGCAAGACATGATAAATGAAGTCGATGCTGACGGTAAGTGTTGAATATTAATAATAATAAAAAACATCATTAACAAATGAAATATAAGAGAAAAAATATGAAATATAACTAAAACTAAATTAATAATAGTATTTAAATTAAAAATTAGTAGGACATCAAAATTAAAAAAAAAAACTAAATAATAACTATTAATTATTAATCATTTAAAGTTATAAAATAATTAAGAATCATAAAACAATTGAACGTCAGAAATTAATTAAAAATTAGAAAATAATAATTAGGAAAAAAATTCAAAATGAAAAGAAATTGAGTAATTACAATTAAAAAAAAATAAAACACAACAAATTAAACCAAAAAAACGGTGAAAATTAAAAATTATAAAATTATTAGAAATTCTTATAAAAATTAGAAATTAAAATAAAAATTAAAAATAAAATTAAAAATAATAAATTAAAAAAATAGGATAAAAAAGGAAAAGTTGAAAAACGTAAAAATTAAAAAAAAGATAGAATAAAAAAGTAAAAATAAAAAATTAAAAATAAGAAATAAAAAATAAGAAATAAAAAATACAAAATAAAAAATAAGTAAAATAGAAAAAAAAAATAAAAAAAGAATAAAAAATTAAAAAGGAATAAACAATAAAAAATAGAAGAATAAAAAAAATACAAATATAAAAACATACAAAAGAATAAAAATAAATAAAAACATAAAAAAGAATAAAAAATAAATAAAAATAATAAAAAATAAATAAAAATAATAAAAAATAAATAAAAATAATAAAAAATAAATAAAAATAATAAAAAATAAATAAAAATAATAAAAAAAATAAAAAAAAATAAAAATAATAAAAAAAAATAAAAATAAAAAAAAAAAAAATAAAAATAATAAAAAAAAAATTAAAAAAAATAAAAATAATAAAAAAAAATAAAAATAATAAAAAAAAATAAAAATAATAAAAAAAAATAAAAATAATAAAAAAAAATAAAAATAATAAAAAAAAATAAAAATAATAAAAAAAAATAAAAATAATAAAAAAAAATAAAAATAATAAAAAAAAATAAAAATAATAAAAAAAAATAAAAATAATAAAAAAAAATAAAAATAATAAAAAAAAATAAAAATAATAAAAAAAAATAAAAATAATAAAAAAAAATAAAAATAATAAAAAAAAATAAAAATAATAAAAAAAAATAAAAATAATAAAAAAAAATAAAAATAATAAAAAAAAAATAAAAATAATAAAAATGAGTAAAAATGGATAAAAAAATAAAAATGGATAAAAAAATAAAAATGGATAAAAAAATAAAAATGGATAAAAAAATAAAGTGGATAAAAAAGAATAAAAAACAAATAATGAAATTAAATAAATAAAATATTAATAAAAAACTTCTTAGGTATAGACTATAGACAGTATTAGAACATTAACAACATTTTCATAAAGGAAAAAAATACAAATATTGGAAAAATGAAAAAAGAATCTAAAGTTGAGAACATAAAATTAACTAAATGATATTAAAATAAAACGAAACCAATTTTAAAAAATAAAAAAAATTAAAAATAAGTTAAATTAAAATTAAAAATCTCTCCTTAATGTAGGCACGTTATTTTGATTTAACGAAAATTCGTTGCCTACATTTATGCGCACTAAGCAATGGTACACCAATACCCAATCCATTTTAAATATCTATCTATTAGAAACTGATTGATTATATACAGCGAAAATAATAATAGAAAAATCAAATGAAATATACATTTTCGATAAATATTCAAATCAATTGAAGAAACCATATTTGCACACAGACAGGCCGAAATATATGAATGTATGAAGTATATTTTGAATACATTACAAGTAATTATTTGTGCTAACAATCGTGTATATGGCTTCCTAACTCATAAATAAGTATTTCGCTGAATGATATTGAACACAAATTAATTGTGGAGGCGTGAATAGCACGCGCTTTTATAAATTATAGCAACCATAAAATATGAATAGATAGATATATAAAAAGAAGAAAAAACAAATGAAAACAAGAAGGAATAAATAAATACAAATAAGTAGATTTAAAAAATTCGAAAATAACAATAAAACAAATTGCTATATCAAAGAGCAGTGCTAAGAGTTTGGGAAAAAAAAACAACGAAAAAGAAAACAAATAAAAGATAGAAATAAATTATAAATCAAGAGGAAATCATTATGAGACAAGAAAACTAACTAACAAAAATATATGCTTATGAATATGTACACATATAAGTGTGTATGTAAGCAGAAGAAACGCTAAATATTGCCCTCAACTGCCGGCTTTTAGCTATTTCTTATTTATTCATATGTGCATATTTATTCATATATGTATATCTGTAGCGCTATCGAACTACTAGCTGCGATGCCATCTAATGAAATAAGTTGCTTTGATCCTCTACTCATCCAGCGGTGTTGTGTTGTCTTTGAAGGCTTGGCATTTGATTGCTTTTATGGAGCCGCCGCCGACGCTGTTTCGGTCCACCGATAATTCTTTGCGATATTTTGCTAAATAATTTTTGCCAGCTATTGGAATGAAAATTTTGCGCTGATGAGCAGCAAGCACCTTTACTTGATGCCTACAAACATCTGTACATACATATATAAATATATGTGTGTCTACAAGAGTAAGAGTGTATACACATGAATATTTCTTTATGATGGCGCACGGCCAAGTCAAGAATAGAATATTAATAAGAATTTTAATCATGAAATAAAATATCACTCCATTACTCTCGGATATACTCGTACACAGACTTGTTGCCTTTGACTATGCGTTGGTTTTGATGCGATTTTTTTTTTTTTTTGTATTTTTTGTTGTTGAGTTGTTTGTTAAGTTGTCTAATCATCTGCAACTAACGCTTAAGCTGCTTTTCATGAAACAAAATTATTACCGTTGTACATTTATTTATGAAGAGTAGGCAAACAAGCTTGCGGGGTCGGTATGTAGCAACAGCGAATTAAAATAGATAAAACACAAAATCAGATTAAAAATAGTTGAAAATCACTAGTGCCGAAAAGAATGTGCTATTGGCTTGTGGAGAGCATTCCGACAGCCTTAAGTGCCGACAACTAGGCGCAAAGCTCTACGTAATCCAATCTTAACTCTTAAATACCATACAGCTAAGCATTCTAATATTGTAATTTTGCAATTTCTCGCCCTAACCATGTCCGGTCAGTATGTATGTATATACATAAGTCTGCTTTTCATTCGAGGGTAGCTGTGTGTCCTTTGGCCAAATGAATTTCACAATTGCACTGCAAGAACCGCGCCCCTACATTTTTTTCCTAACACTAAGTAATATATTTTTGTACATATATGTACATATGTACATGCACATATGTTTGTTTGTTTGTGTTGCAGTGGCGCCACACCTGCATTGACTGACGACACCTCTTGTTGCTGCGGCGACATTTGCCATTTTCGTTGTCGTTGCAATTTTTCCTTGCGCGCCGCGCTGCTGAACACTTTTTGTTCGCAGCCATGGGCTTTTGAAGTGCATATGTATGTATTATAATCGTTATTCTTAACCATTTTACCTGTTCTTCGTCTGCCAATTTATATTCCTACATCTCTTTTGCATTCCACAGCCTCGTCATTTACTGCTGTAATTTACTGTCGCATATCGACGCTTTTTGATTTCATCTTTTGCAGTTTCGTTAACTTTGCGCTCTGTCTGTCGTATATGCCTCATATTCTTAGCCTCCACATTCTGTCCTCCCGCCAATTGCATTTCATTTCATTCGCTTATATATGTATGGCGTCGCTTTACCCGGGATTTTGCCGTGTTGTGCAGAAGTAGCACATGCGCAGTTGCTCGCTGCAGGAATGTTTTCTCCATGTGCTTCCGCTCGGTTCTGCAGCTCGGCGTGTTTATTAAATTCACAGTGGCAAGTCCCAAATTACCTTGTTGGTTGCTTGGTGGCTTGGTCGCTTGTTCGTCCTGCTTCGAGATACGACAGTCAGCATGACAGGGCAAAAAGCAAAACTTGTGTAGAACACAAATAATAAGCAGCAGCTTTTCATATGTGCATATGTATGTATGTATGTATGATGTTGCTATAAAATGTATGCGTGTTGTTGTTGTTGTTGTTGTTCGTTCTATATATACCACAGTGGCAGACACGTTCATACATATAATATTTTAAGAGTTGTAATGGGCGTAGCACCTTGGTTGGCACGAATTTTAATTAATTTTATGTAGGGGAAGTTTGGATGGAGCAGCTACCTAGAGAAATTGGGTAAGTTTGTAGTAAAAGTTAACCGAAAAATGCTAAAGAAATCGTTACCAGAAAAACTGTGGTAATCTTTAATCGGAATATATCTTTTAGTTAAAAAATAATGCCTTACACTTCAGAATAACTGCTTTAACTTTTTTTATTTGAGGTTTTTTTTTATTAATTAAAATATTTATTTTTTAATATTTTTCATTAATAATTTCCGTTCTCTTTAATCTTTAATTTTTATGTAATAATTATATTTTATTATAATTCTTTAATTTTTATGTAATAATTATATTTTATTATAATTCTTTAACTTTTAACTTATTTTTAGTTATTAATTTTATTCGTTATTGTTTTTAGTTTTTTTTTAAATATTGCGTATTTTTAATATTCTGAATAAATTAAATATTTTTATTATTCTTAATTTTATTATTTTATTTATAATGTTTTATGTAACTAAACGTTTATTTAATTTTTATTTTATTACTTTTTTTATATATATTTATTATTTTTTTTGATTAATTTTTTATTATTTTTAATATAATTTTTATCACTTTTTTATATTAAAAAACGTTGCCTACATTTAGGCTCTTTCACTTTACTTGCTATATAACTATAACAAAGTTTTGGCTTTTACATGGAGACCAAATAAAATACGAAGATTTCTAATATGAATTTTGGTTTTGTAGAATTTTTGGAAGACGGCAAGACATAAAATTTTAAAAACATATGTTTTAAACAAGTTTTTTTGTGTTTGTTTTTAGAAAAAGTGTATGTGATTAGATAATAAAAT